AGTGCCAACCTTTTCTTTCAGTATATGTACACTGACTAGAATTGAGTGATCTTTGTTTTATACACCAACCTCAAGGTATCACCCTCCAGATCCAGTGTTTCTAAAGAGTGTTGAGGAGGTAAAGACATCTGGAAGCAAAGTGTGGTAGACTTCATTGCTCTCCACACAGACTTGCTATCCTTCACTCAGCGCTGAACTCAGGTGTGGCCAATACATGCTCAAGTTCAGACTTTCACTCGGCTGCAGTGACCAACAATGTTCCAGAGGATGCTGCCCCATCAGCCTGGGACCTGGAGTGAGGTAGAGCGCAAGGTAGAACACAACCTGGAGCCGAGTCCTCACAGAATCCCCAATGCACACTGTTGTTAGGTGCCATGGAGTCTGTACCTACTCATAGCAACCTTATGCACAGCAGAACGAAACACTGCCCAATCCTGGGCCAAGCTCACTACTGTTGTCACGCTTCAGTCCATTGATGCTACCACTTGGCTAATCCATCTCTTTGGGGGTCTTCCTCTTTTTCTCTGACCCTCCACCTTACCAAACATATATCATTCTCTAGTGACTGGTCCCTCCTGACAATATGTCCAAAGTATGAGAGACAAAGTTTGGCCATCTTGGCCTCCAAGGAGCGCTCTGGCTGTACTTCTTCCAAAATGATCTATTGGTTCTTGTGGCAGCCCATGGCACTTTCAATATTCTCCAACACCATAACTCAAAAGTGTCAATTCTTCTACGGTCTTCCTTATTCACTGTCATTCTTTCAGCCACTCAGATTTTACAAAATTACAGCTTAACCTATCTATCCTGAATGACTGACATTAGTGAGAACGGTTTACTTTATGATTCTTATGATCCCCCAAATCCTTTATAATCATCTCAGCACTTCTAAATCAATGACCATGATCTTAGAAACTTGCTTTTATCAGGTGTTTTCCAAAATATTCAAATGCATCTTGACAAAAACAATCATTTCCAGCACATATATTTGAAATCATAAAATTAAACTGTAATAATTACAGCCAGTATAAACAATATTTATAACATACACAACTGAGTGTGGAGAAGCGTACATCTTAAGTGTCAAGAACAGAAACTCAAGAGTACACTACACAGTAAGACCTCTACCCTTGGGCATTTGGTGTATTATAGGCTGTTGTTAGGTGCCCTCCAGCAGGTTCAGACTCATAATGACCCTATGTCAAACAGAATGAAGCACTGCTGGGTCCTACACCAATCTCACAATCGTTGCTATGTGTGAATCCACTGTTACAGCAAATGTGTCACTGCATCTCACTGAGGGGTCATTAGATGATATATCTCACAGAGGGAAAAAAAAGGCACCAATAAATCCAGTCTGTCTGGAGGATACTATGGGCCTATATTGCTTTCAACAACTTTGAGTCTAAATAATTAGAAGAATAAATAATACTCTTATGCTGTTTTGTGCCATCAAGTCAATTTCAACTCCTAGTTACCCATGTGACAGAGAACTGTCCCATAGGGCTTTCTTGGCTGACAGCTTTACAGATTACCAGGTCTTTACCCCACAAAGCCGCTGGTAGATTCAAACCAGCAGCAGCCTTTCAGTTAGTAACCAACACTTGAAGTTGGCTGGCCAGATTAAAAACCTGGTTGGTTTTTCAAAACGATATCCAATTATCATATTTATTCTGTCCCAAATACATAGTCAGAAGTACCTGAGTCACTTAAGAAAGGGAAAATAAAACACTTCAAAGCCACAATCAGACATAAGAGGTCAAGAAGAGTGCAAGGGCATATAGCCTGGCTCTTAGGATACAAAGAATAAACACACAAGTTATTTTTAAAAACCAAGTTTAAGTTTCATAGTTTAAAATTACATACTTCTTTAAAATTGTCAACAGAGATAACTGTTCTTCTCAAAAGGGGTTCCATACTCTTGAGTAAAATGAAAATTGTTCAGCAAAGTCTGGGTGCTTCTATTCTGTGTAGCCAAATAATAAATCTATCCAAGATGGGTTATATATCTTAGAAATCTGATAGTCATTGCTTCAATAAAAATATCTTTATTTAGAAATGATACTGACATATTTCAATAGACTATTGATAATATTCTATGTAACGCTATGTAAACACATACTGACCAGAAACCCGTAACCCAGCAACACTTCATAAACATATACATTACAGAAATCCAAAACACCCCTGCACCAACACCATGGTAGGTTTTCAACCACCAACCTTGCAGTTAGCAGTCCAGTGCTTATCCTACAGTGCCACACCAGGACTCCCTCCTCTACTTGTCACAAAATGGTATTCCCCAGACAGAGTTCTAGCATCCATCTTCCACTCTTCTCACACTACCTTCTGAGGAACCATTCATAGCTTCAATCACTGCCTGTTGTTAAGTCCCATCGAGTTGGTTCCGACCCTGTA